GTGCCCAGCACCAGCACCGCCGCAGCCTCCAGGGGTGGGGGACGGCGGGCGGTGGCGCAGTGGGGGCCTGCTCTCCCGTCAGCGCCTCACCCAGAGACAGGCGGTCAGCCACCGAGCCTGCCCCTGGCAGTGCTGGGCTGTGCCAGCTTCCCGCCACCCTGTCAAGCGGCTGCTCTGTTCTCCTGCTCCTGGCCAGCTCCTCCAGCCGGAGGCGGGACAGGGCTGGGCTGGACCCTCGGGGCAGGCCCGCCCTGGGGCAGCACCAGCCCCGGGCACGCCAGCCCCTGCTCTCTCTGGCCACCGAGGGCCTCCCAGGCTGGGTCCCGCAGCAGGGGCCTGTCTGGGGCTGGGCCCCTGGGGCCCTGGCAGGTAGGAGCCGTGGCCGGCAGTGGCCTGTGCAGAGGGCAGCTCCAACCCAGCCTGAGCTTCCCTCCGCACCCCAACCTCCTCTTTCACCCCGACCGCAGGAGCCACAGCACCCCCCTTTTGCAGTTGGGACTGGTGGCCACAGAGGGTGGCCGGGCCCTGGGGCCTCCCCACGGGCTGTGCCCTCTGTACCGGGAGACGAGGCCAGAGGCTGGGTGGAGGAGGAATGGCAGACTGGGCCTGTGACCAAAGTGGGCACAAGCTGCTTCCTGGCTCGGGCAGCCGCCCTTCCTGACCCCCTCCTGACCGCCCCCCGCCAAGCAAGCTGAGCTTCGGGGGAGGGGGGACTCTGAGACCCCATTCCAGAAACTGGCCTGTGGGGGAGGGCTGTGCTGGGGACTTCCCAGTGAGTGTGGGGAGCACTTCCTGTTGCCCTGGCCCCGGGGCTCCCTTTCCCACCTCCACCTGGAGGGTGGGCTGGGGGTGGGGGGCCTGGGCCACCTCGTTGCCCCCTGCCTGGGGGTTCCGGGCATGTGGTGGGCCCGGCCTTGCGCCCCTCTCCACCCGGGGGCTCCTCCCGGGGCCCCATCCAGGGAGAAGTAGGGCTGCACCCTGCCCTTCCTGCCCTCGACCTGGGGGACCCCGCCCTTAAGTCACCACTGGGACTTTCTCTTCCCCTAATTGAGAAATGGCCGCGTTCACCTCACAAGCGTCTGGTGCGTGCCCCCCATGGCGTGTCGTAGTTTCTGCGCTCGGGACCCCGTGTTGACGCTGCTGTGACTGTCATGGGCCCTCTGTCTGGGGCTGGGCACCCTCATACCGCGGCCCACCTGGCCAGGGCCTCCAGCCTGGGGCTGCTGTGCCCCTGGACTGGGGCAGCCAGGCGGACATTCAGCTCTTCTGCCCCCGAGGCCCCACCTGGGACGCCCCACAGCACAGACCAGGCGACACCCCCAGGGCCGGACTTGGCCTGGCGGACAGACAGCCCAGGCTGGAGCTGGGGGACGGACAGGGGGCCACGCTGGCAGGTCTCAGCTCCAGGGCCCCCACCCAGCAGGGCCAGGCTGTCCCCAGCTCCCCGTGCCTGCCAGGAAGACGATCCGAGGGTTGCCAGGCAGTGGAAAAATTCGGGTTCCTGCAGGAGCTAAAAATACCGCGTGGCTGCCCCTGCCTCCCAGCCCCGGGATTCCGCTGCTGACGTTCCTCCGCCGCCCCTGGGAACCGAGCTGGGTCCGCCCCAGCCCAGCACCCAGCCCCGCGTGCCACGACAGGCCACCCTGAGGCCGCCCCATGCACCCCGCCCCGCCCACCCTGGAGCCCCCAGCCCTGCGCCCCTCCACCGGGCAGAGCCTGGTCCAGGAACAGCAGGCGGCAGCCGCCGCCTTCCTCCGCCCACTCGTGCTGGCCTCGGGTCCCTGCCCTTGAGCCTCCCTCGCACCTCGGGCGCCTGCACCGGCTCTCCCCCGGCTGCACCAAAGCCTGGGCTCGAGGTCTGGGGACCGGAGGGGTTCCCCCCCGGGAGGGGTCCCCCCCCACTTGCTGTGTGTGACTGAGGCGCACGGCAGTGGCTTCTAGTGAGTCAGCCCGGTGCCTGGGGGGCCGCTGACAGGCTCCCACCGAGGGGCGCTGGCCCGAGTCCTCAGGTGCTCCCGGCGGCCCTGGCGTGGGCCGGGTGGGTGGTCGAGAGCCAGGCCCCCGTCAGTGATGCACCCACAAAGCTCCCAGGGAGACCCGCCTTCGGGCGCCCCATGGAGGGAGAAGCATGACGCTGCCGGGAAAAACCCCGCGG